CCCCCCGGTTTGTTTTCAAAGCGGGATCCACCAGGGAACAGAAGTAGAAGGAGGGGAAAAGAAACAAGTCTAGTTCATGCAATCTGCGGGCAAGGTTATATCAGAACCAGAGGGTCTGAAGGAGCCGCAAGACTCGAAGAACAATTAGTATTTTGGTTTGGCCCATCAGAGGTGACGATATCTTTCAACGGATGATCACTAAAGTGGAGGGTCGAACAGGCAATAGTTGGACTAGCAAAATTGACCAGTTCAAAGTCAATGGGGACCCGATTTTTGCCTTCGGTCGAATGACTATCAGGTAAAGATCCAACTGCTTAAACCAATGACACAATGGTCACAATGTGGTCTTTTGGCCACGCGGGGATTTCCTAGAAAGGGGTCCAAACGAGTGTGATGTGAAAAAAACCGTGGAATTGAAATGAAATTATTAATCAGTAACAGACAAAGAACGTTCCTGGGGTACCTTAATTGGGAAATGCCGTTCTAGTAGGATAGTCCTTTGGAACTGCGCGAAATCAACGAGCAATCCCCCTTCCAAAAAGTAAAAATTAAAAAAAAAAAAGCCCCAAAGCAAAACGACGCACAAAGATGAAGAAAGATTATCTGAATCTCGGAATGGCAAATCATCACAGAGAATGCAAGTTATAGATGTGTAAGTACTACTCTATCCGAACGCAAAACATTTTCATTGAAGGCTGTTCGTAAGTATACTTGACGAGGTGCGATTGGACCAAAAATCTATCCAGCAAGGACGTTTTTTTACTCTCACAATACTGTAACCTATCATTACTCCGTCTCTAATCGGGGGGTATACCTAAGTAAACTCCGATAAATATGGGTCAGAGGGGGGGAAAAAATGTGTCAGAAGGTTGCCCTTCAAGCGTACGGAAGATTTCATTTGTTCTAGATGAATGGATTAAATCTATGGAGGTGGATGTTCTCCATCAAGAGAGAGAATCATTTCGAATTCAGGAAAGAGCCTAGGTAGAGGGGGGTCAAAAGTGAGAAAAAAAAATATATAATAAAATAAAATAAATGAAAAAAAAATTTTTTAAAATAATAATAATAATAATGATAATGATAAATGAGGGAAACGTAAAATTGAAAAAGAAAGAAAGAAAAAAAAAATAATTGCACGTAATACACGCTATGCTGCAGCCCTGCCACTGCATAAGAAGAGTTCGGTTTCCCGGAGCTGATAGGCCCTTGCGGGAAGACCGAAACGAAGCATTGCAGGGTTCAATTCGGCCGCTGGCGGGAACATCAGACGACGCCCCTGCTCAAGGACATCCTCATCTGGAGCTGTGGAGCTGTGGGATACTAGTCCGATGGCCGCTCCGACACCTAAATTAAATCATTATCTCGCCTGGGGGTTTCTAAGGTCTCGACCGTGGGTATGGGAGAGAAGGTATCTTCCTCCGTCCGTGACTCGATATTCAAAGTAATTTTGACGCCCAAATTAAATTTTATCCCATAAACAAAAGTCAATTTAGTAAAGTTTGATTTGACCGTGAAAAGCACGCAATCTATCTTCAACCGGTGGGATGTTGTAAGGGAAGGTCAAACGTCGGACCCGCTGGCAACGATGAAGAGACACCCACCACCTTCAACACTCGCTCAACCCACATCCACTCCTATTCCCACCGACCTCGACTGGACCCAATCACTCTCATCAGAGAAAGGATCGCTGCAGGAGCACTACGCCGCACAGGCTAACCCTACTCTGCTGCTACTTCCTGCTAAGTAGGTAGGTAGACGGTCTGGGAAAACGGAATGGAAGGAGGGGGAAAGGGAGGAAAAAAAAAAAAAAAACCAACAAGTGCTAGCCATACAAACCGCGTCTATTGGGCGCGGGAGAGCAAGTCAGCAACACCCAACCTACAGTGGCTTGGTTAGTGAACCGTGGTACTGGGACATATTCACGAATGGGAGTGAGGCTCTAACGCTGTCTAGCTCTTAAATGGTCTCAGAATTTGCACAGGGCTTTTTCTGAAGGACAGGCGTGACAGCCAAACGGGAGACACGATGCAGTCTGTGGGTCTTTCTTGGCATAGAACTGGGGCATGGGGGTGGCTAGCTCCCATGGAAATTTTCTATTGGCCACCTCGGCCTATAATTTGATGAAAATTTATGACTGTTGCGTTTTTTCGCCCAGTATCTCTCCTCTTTCCTAAAATTTCCATTATCCTCTTTGGGTCAATTATCCACTTCCCTACACCTCTCAACTACTACATGATACTAAGTATGGAGACAACTAAAGTACATACTACCTGCGTCTGTATGTACAGGTATAGCAGTCTTTCATTCACAACACGCAGTCCAGATACTAATCTGTGAATCTGCCAGCACATCTTTGCATTGCATTGGTAAGTCGATCCCCTATCTTTTGTTGCCTATGGGGATTAGCATTATGAGTTGATCTGGCTAGACGGAGATTCCCCATGGTATTTAGCCGGTCCTTTGTCTTCCCTTAGTCCTTCCCTACATTTATCTTGTGGGCTTAGTATCCAAATAGTTATATCCCATTTAACCCAACCCAACCCAACCCCCGGTTTCGCTAATTTGACGGATACAAATATTAAGTTCTTTAGCAAACACGCTCGATATGGGCTGACAGCCCCCAAATCCTTCTTTTATGGTTCTAGGATAGTAGGAATAACTCAAATAAATTAATGAATGTATGGGTGATCTGGAGTCATTTGTCAGTGCAGAAGTTAGCAGGATGAATCGTCAGGCCACTAGCGCTATCGATTGAACCTGTCAAAGGAAGCAAAGTAAATCCTGATGGAGTTGACCTATTAGGACTAAATTTGTTTTGGATCCGTCATAGCGAACAGTGGATGTACTTAAGGCAGATTAGCACCAGCAAAAAATGCATCGGGTCTCGGCGACGAAGATCCGGAGGATGAGGGAGTATGGAGCAGAAGCAATGAGTACGTACTTACATACATACTGTACATAAATACATAGTCGGTAATTTGGATACCATGCCCTCTTCACATGACAGGTATGGTTATTAGCTACCTAGGAACTGATTTCTCTTCCTTCACTCCCTCTAGCTTGATTGTATGATCACTTTAAGATGCCTTCAATCTAAGATCAGTATCACATCAGTTGTCCAGTGTTAAATCCGGTATGCGATGAGGTATCATGGACGTGGGTAGCCATCTCGTATTGGTATGTAGCCAAGTGTCCTGCAACTCAGGCCAGCCGGAGTATGGAACGAAACAAAGCAATCTCTAACCCCACACCAGGCCACTCCTCACCAAAGTAGATTTTAATGAAGAAACACTAGAAAAGTTTTTTGACGGAAAAAACAAGAAAAAAAAAAGGGGAAAAAAACAGGATGGTTGACATATAATATTTTACCACTACATAGACTCCACAATGTGGTATTTGTCACACAGATACCTCCAATCCTGTTGAAAGGAAAACCAACAGTTGATTATACTTACCATCATAAGTAGTTTCTTCACAGTGAATATCCTTCAACGTTATAAAGTTAGTATGGAGTAGCTCAAGGCAGCGTGATTGGGTCATACCCCGGGAAGGGGAGGGGGAAAGGAACGTCACCTGTTTTCCTATTGATCTTTGGGCTGCATCGTCTGTCATCTGCGACACTTCGTTTTTCCCTCATCTTGGCGTGATGACGACAAGTTGAACTGTGTTTTATGTGGGACGGCAAAATTCCACATTGAAGAATGACTATCGGGCTTTGATTCTTGGGATGACCGAACAAACAACAGATTAACAGAAAATCGAAGATAGCAGGTAGTAACCTCGGCCAGGGTTCCTCTTTGGAAGGATACACCTAGTACCACTAGTAGACCATAGGGCACCGCTCTGGTTACCTACTGGGTTACTACGCCGTATACTAGTACTGAGGTTGTGGAGGCAAAG